TTCTGTCCCTTTGGCCAGAGCGTGCCATGCCTGGAGTACTGGCTTGTAACAGGGAAGGGTGCATGGTGCAGGCAAGTTTTAATACCCTCAAAGCACGACAGCATTCTTCAATGAGAACTGAAACTTTGAGTGTTTAGGCTTTTTGTCTTCCAGGAAAAAAATTAGATCATTTTCCCCATAGGAGAGGTAATTTTATTAAAGATACAAAACCAAAAGCACACAACTATTTTGAAAATCCAATTTTCTGTTGAAAATTCTTTCTAGTAAAATTTTCCACTCTTCAGCATTCAAGAGGTTGTCCTTTTCTGAAGTGGCAGAGGAGGTGGGGAACTGGCAACCTGGAAGATATTTGGAAATGCCTATGAAAGCCAGAGATTGCTAAGGGAAGGAGGAGATTTAAGTGCCATTCTAGGGGATGTGCCAAGAGTAACGTAGGAGCCCAAGTAGAAGTGAAGTGGGGACAACCTAGCCTGGTCACAAGGAAAATGGTCCTGGCAGAAGGTCTCTTTGGTTAATGAAAAGCCCTCTGTGGGGACCTCAGCATATTTTTGCCTGCTCAGGACATCCAAGCCCCATGTCTTAGTTTTCTACAGTGCCTTTGGCTCGTGGGACAGGACACCAGCCGGGGTCTGCAGCCCTCTCTCACTGTCAGGACAGGTCTGGGCTTGCCAGGTTAGATGCTGTTATCATAGGGTGGTCAAAGGTCTTCCGCTCTTTGTTCTTGTCCTGGGGGGTAACAAGGATGCTAGGCTGCAAGGATGCTAGGCTGCAGGACTGTGTCCTTGAGGGTGATGTTTTCTCTGGCCTGGGGAGTTTGGATCAAGGCTTGTGTCAGTAGGGCTCTGCTGGGGTGCACTGCCAGGGTGCTAGCCCTCCCCTTTCAAGCCTGGGCTCTCCCTTCCCAGGTCTATGAGACGGAGCTGGAAAACGTGGAGGACTTTGAACACCTCTCTGACTTCTGCCACACCTTCAAGCTATATCGCGGCCGAACCCAGGACTCAAATGACGATCCCTCTGTTGTGGGGGAGTTCAAGGTATGTTTCTACCTCCAGCACCTTTACCCACAACCCAGGCTGAGTTTAGCAGCTAATTGCTGATGGGCTCCCAGTCAGGACACATTTGCCCACCATCCTTATGTTAAGCCCACAAACGTGCTTTCAAACCCTCTTTCCCAGTCAGGTTGTCATAGGGGCTGCTTCCTGGGGTAGAGCAGGCACAATGGGGATCCTCCACACCAGGTGCTGGGTCCCCCTTGTCCTTGCATGGCCCAGGTGTTTGAGCCCTGGTTTTGATATTTATTGCTTAGTTGTACCCCAGATTAAGCTCCTATTGTGCTAAGCGCTAGACACACCTAAACAGCAGAAACTGGTATTCGTCCCCAAATTATTTCTAGTCTATGTGAAATAGTGGACTGGTGCCATGTTGCTAGCAGAGGACACATGCTGCCTTACACCTGAATGCAGCCTCTTCATGCCGGGACAGACACCCTTGCTACCTGCATGGGGAACGGGCATGAAATGCGGCCAGGAACACATGCTGCTGGATGGAAGGTCTTGTGGAGTAGACCTAAGTGGGGTTATGACTACGAATTATTTACAGGTAGGACTTCAGTAGGAAATGGGCCGTAAAAGTGCATTACTGGACCTAGTCTAAACAAGCTGCTGGTGCAGGTCTGCCTGCTTTATTCCCCAGCAGCGAGTGTGTTGCACACTTCAAACACAAGAGAGGCTGCGTCATAATCCTGGAGCAAAAACCCATCTGGGGTTGGCGTTGCCTGCAGTTGACTGGCTTGAACCTGTGGAGCATCTTTTTGCTCTGGGGTGGTGGTAGGAAGTGTGCATGAGTGCTGCCAGTCTCCCCCAGCACAGGCTCAGAGACCTCCCGCTGTCTGTCCAGCGCAGAGCAGCAATGAGTCCTTTGCTCTTGTTAACCCGCTCAGGGCAGCCTTTAGCCTGTTTTAACCTGGGAAGAAAGAAGTTTTTTTTTTTTTCCTAAATGTTTTTTTTTTTCATTCCTCGTTTGACCTGATACCCTCCTCCTCTAGGTAATACCCGGAGATTGATTCCTGCTATTTCACTGTTTTTGCAAAGGCAGAAGTCAGCTCTGTTTAATAAAACACTTGCACATTTGTGCATTTGCTTTCTCTTCCTCCCACCCTTCACTCAGAAAGGCAGCTGCCTGTTTCAGCAACCTTTAAAACCATCCCTGCAGCTAAAAACTCAGCTTATAGGGACTTCACATTTGCACCAAGGCTCCTTCACACCTTTTTAACAGCATGACAGCTTGAGCGCTAGTGAAGTAAAAGACGCAAAGGACAAACGGGCTATAGCAGCTCTGAGCAGATTTCTGACAGAGTTTGCATTGCTGTTGAGGGACGGGGTAAACAATACAGACTGCTCCTGGCTCACCCGACAGTCCAGTGCTCCGTAGGACCTGGTCTATTCTAGTAGGTAAATGAGGGCAAGGTTCTGGGCTCCAGCCCACAGCCATCCAGATGGTTTGGTTGGTGCTAGCCTGCCAGCATGGTTTTGGGCCAAGCCAACTTACACTCTCCCAGACAACGCCTGGGCATGGTCTATGGGATGGTGTGGGGCAAGGACTGGTTCCTGGAGGTGGTTTGATGAGGGTCCCTGATTATAAGGGAAGAGAGCTCAGGCAGATGGGTGTGAATTGCACCCTGTAGAAGCAAGGAAATGTTGCTGAGTCTGCGTTATTTGGTGGTACAGGTGTTGACATTGCACCTTGGCCCCTCTGATGACCACACAAAGTGCTGCAGCCCACCCGCCCCAGCTCACACGTGGTCCAAATTGTTCTGCGTTCTCCCAGCCTCCGCCGCGATGTTGATTTTGCAGAAGTGGAATTGCACTGGGTCACCTGGAGCAGTAGTAGCTTCTCACCCGTCTGCACATGTGTGCACACCAGCACAACTGAACATGTGTGTCATTTACAGGGCTCATTCAAGATTTACCCTCTCCCAGATGACCCCAGAGTCCCAGTCCCGCCACGGCAATTTCACCAGCTCCCGGCCAGGGGACCCCAGGAGTGTCTCATCAGAGTCTACATCATCCGGGCCTTCGATCTGCAGCCCAAGGATGCCAACGGAAAGGTATCCTTCTGGGAAATGGTGGGCAGACCTGAGGGGTGGCTCCAACAAGGAGTTAGAGGTGGACTCTTTGGGCAGACCAGCCCCAATGGATAAATGTTTTTCTCTTTGGCTTAAAATTTAGGAACATCTGTGATACCAAAAAGGGAAAAAAATCTACTCTTCCTTTCTCCCTGCGTTGCGATGTCTCAGAATCCCAGGATCTTGCAGTAGGGCTAGTTAAAATAGCTGAATGATTTTCTTTTTGTATGTTGGTGCCAAAGGAAACAAAATCAAGTTGTTCACATGACTACTTTTTGCAAAGCTTTACAAATCTCTGGAAGAAAAATTCAGAACAAAAAAAAAATTGTGTCAGTTCAAAAAGAAAATATTCATTTTGTTTCAGTTTGCAAAAAAACTCAGGGAAAAATCCTTCTTAACTCTTTTTGTTCCAGTGAAAAATAAGGACAAAGTTAAAAAAAAAAAAACAGGGGAAAATATTTTGATGTGAACAAAATGAAACTGCTTTTTAATGTACCCAGATTTTGAAAATGGATTTGGAATGAATGTTTCCAATTTCTTGGAAATTTCCTGTCAGAGACCCTCGAAGATCAAAAATAAGGAGCTGAAAAAATGCTTTTTACCCTGAAAACTAAAACAAATCCTAGTCTGACCTTCCTGCTGTGCTGTGGTGTCTCCTGCAGCTTATCACAGTCAGGAGAGACAAAAAGCCTTCCTTGTTTGCCCGATCCGCACTAGGGGGTATTGTCAGGTCACAACACTGACCTCCCCGAGGTGCCACGTTTCCATCCTTCACTTCTGAAAAAAATCTTCAAGTCAAGGAAAGGTGGATGAGGAACTCGGTCTGGGTGCTTAGCTAGCTAATATCTTCCCCAGAGGGTTTATCAATGTGATCTGGGTAAGACAATGCATCCCTCTAAGTGCAGAAATTTTTTTTATCTGTAGGTATTTTTTTTTCCCTGGGAAAAACACCAACTTGGGTCATTGGAAGCACTTTGCAAATTCACACTGGCTTCACTGGATGGTTTTAGCAATGAGAGAGAAGTTTAAAGACTTAAAAATATATATTAAAATATTTGATATCATTTTTAGATGCACAGGGAGACTTTATGTTAAAGTGAGCTTCCATTATATTTTAGTTTTAAAGCTGATGCAGCATCTTGGAAATGAAGAGTTTTGAGCCATGTTTTTAAACAAAATAATTTTCTTCTGACATTTTGGTCCCTGCATTTTTAAATCTACTTTTGAGTAGATTTAAAACTTAAAACTTTCAAAACGAACCCCAAATAGGTGATTCAGAAGGAGTGATTGAGAACATCCTGAGGACTTCAGATCAATCCCTGTCCATCAAACAAGCCATAAGTGGCTCCTGTTTCATGCTACTGTATTGATTTTTCTATCCCATGAACTTCAGAAGGGTTTGGACTTTTGTCCCACACTGCCAGCTAGTCCTTCAGCCACCCTTGAAAGGGGAATTGCAGTGCAAGTAGCCCTTACTGGTTGTCACAGAGATTTATAGTAAAGAGATAACAGTCAGACTGTCCGATTCATCCTGAAAAGGAGCATTAGTCAAAGGTGGCGTAAGATCCCCTTCGCTGGGGCAAAGGGTAGCAGAGCTATCCGTTTGCCAGCAATATCGCTGTCAGCACAGCCCTGCAATGACTCTTTCTTGCATTTCTTTTTGTTATGTCCGTCTTTAGTGCGATCCCTATGTGAAGATTTCAGTGGGAAAGAAATCCATAAATGACCAAGACAATTACATCCCCTGCACGCTGGAGCCTGTCTTCGGAAAGTAAGTTTTGGTTCAGTCTGGAGTCCGTGAGATCTTTTATGTCAGACTGAGGGAATAAGGCCAGGCCAGCCCAGAGCTTCCCGTTGCCTTGGTGCACTCTCAGCTCGCATTTGACTTTGCTGAAGTGAGTCTGGCCTTGGCTTCATCACTGCCTTACCCAGCACAGCTTTCATTCATCTTCTCCCTGGGACTTTTGAGCTATGGAGCATGGACTGGGTCTTCTCTATGGCCAATGGCGAGTGAGAAAACATCTAGAAGGTTGTTTAAATCTGAGGATCTCCCTGTGGAGGCATCTACCAATCCTAATGATGGTAGAGAGAGTCTGGGGCCGCTTACCTCCTCGTTTAGGCTCTTCAGTTGAATGTCTAGAATAGACACGGTCTGTGGCATGGGACAGCTCAAAGACAGCCCCCTGGAACAGAGCTATCAGTCACCATGATGCTGACTGGTTGAATTGTTTCTCTCACGGTTGGGTCACAGGCTTGGGATAAAACACAAGGGACAAGGCTGTTTTCAAAAAAGAGTATTTATCAGAGCAAGGGGACAGGCTGCTGAAATGCACCTGAGGGAGGGAGGGAGGGAGACCAAAACTTGGCACTTAGCTTCCACGTGCTGATAGGACTTTGGGCTTCCGGAAAAGCGGGGACTGCCCATGGCAGCCTGGGTGCAGGAAGGGACCATCCCCCTTGAGTCTGCTTGCTGAGGCAGGTCGTCCTTTGCCAGACCTGGGTCCCAGCCAGAGGCTGTCTAGACAGCATGCTGCACCTCCCACCCAGTCTTTAAAGCAAGATGTAAAACCAAGGTCCTGGCTGCTGGCGTCTATTAAAACACTCATTTCATGAGCTTTTCCCTGAGCTGCTGGCTGCCTTCCAGCTTTAGCTAATTACATTCTGCTGACCCCAGTTCCTCCTGTGCTCTTAATTGGTGGCATAATCACTCACTTCCCCTCCTTAAAAGCTGCTGCAACGTGGGGTGCTGGCTGTGGAAACGAGCATCACATTTCACCCCAGAGGTGGCTGCATTTCAGCAGCAGGTGGAGGGATTCCTAGGTCAGACCTGGGCCATTCTGCTCACCCTATTGTACCACCTTCCACCCGGAGCCTAAAGGATGCCTCTAACGTTGGACATTGGCTCTGTCTGGATCGTTGTGCTTTATTTTGGTAGGATCTTTGTGCTTTTCTCTCACTGTCCTTCATTTGAGAAGCGGGAGGAAGAGGAAGGTTTGCTCTTGCTTTCTGTTATTTCAGTGTGTGAACTGTCGTGTAATGAGGAGGAGGCAGCACAGAAGAAACGTGCTAGGGACAAGGGGAAGAGGATGAGGAGGCTTTGGGAGTAGGTCTCAGTTCATGAGCCTACAGACAAAAGCTCTTTTAAAAAGCCTCTTTTAAAAACTCTGGGTTCATCCGACCTTGACTTGAAGCCCCGTGGGAGAGGGGAGAGGGCAGAGGATAGGTCTGACACACTCAGGAGAAAGCCAGCATAAGTGAGAGTAGGACCTTCTCATGTGTGCATGTCGAATGACTGGCAGACCATTAGCAGAGCTCCACAAGTTCTGCAGTGCTCTGTGGACTCACATCACTTTGACCTGGCCCCTTTCTCCCTAAAAGGGCCGTGCCGAGTTGTACAGCATGGGTTGGGAAACAGCCTTCACTGCTTTGGGCTCAAACAGCAGATGGTTTTCCAAAGCCGTCATTTCTTCCCTTTTCTCTCCCCACTGCAAGGTTGATCCCTGACTCTCATGTGCTGGTTTCCTTCATTAGATATTTTGGAGACGAGTATCACTTCCATTTAGCAGATGGAGAAACCAAGGCAGGGGCAAAGTTTGCTCAAGAGTGATTCATGAGATCATCAGCTAACCCCAGGCAAAAAAAAAACCCAGGGTATGCTTGCTTAGAAGCACGTCCACCAACTTAGCCATTACAACACAGCAAAAAAGTGCAGTGGTTGTGTTGTCCACTGTGGTACTGGAAGCCTGGGATGATGTGTGAGCTCTGTCGTCTTGGGGGCACTCAGCAGCACGCAGGCCGTCCCTGGGGGGACACTGTGAACCTCCATCTTTTTGAACTGTCTTGGCTTCTGTTGCACAGGATGTTTGAGCTGAGCTGCACTCTGCCCCTGGAGAAGGACTTGAAGATCACACTCTATGACTATGATCTCCTGTCGAAGGATGAGAAGATTGGAGAGACTGTCATAGACCTGGAGAACCGGTTCCTGACAAAATACGGGGCGCGCTGTGGCCTCCCCCAAACCTACTGCGTGTAGGTCTCTCTGATGGCTCAGGCAGTGGGTCTCTCTGATGGCTCAGGCAGTGGGTCTTGTAACTCCCAGAGCTGTGCAGTGCAGGTCTGGCCTTGGGGACCAAGCTGATGTCTCAGTATGGCCCTGACCGTGAGCCTGCTGGTTCAGGATTGTCCCAGGAAATCTGGTATGGTGCTGTATTTCACAGCAATGATTTGTCTTGTGAGACAAATTCACACTGGAGAAGCCCTGGCTTTTAGATCACTCTTGCTGAGCAGTGGCTCTGCTCCAGCAGCCTGAAATGCTTCAAAGAGCAGAAGTCTCCTGAGGAGATCCTGATACATCCCCGGGTCCTTTTGGGCATACCGTGGTGAGGGCAGACCCTAAATGCAACCAAAATGATGTGAAGGTCCTGTGGGGTTTGATGAGGGGCGCCCTACAAATGAGGGTTGAGCTAGGCATAGGATGTGCCACCCTGCTCACTGGGCTAGGGCAAGCAGAGACTTGGAGCTGGCTAGATCTTCCTTAGACCTTTCTGTGCTCCTCACTGGCTTGCTGTCTCTCAGCATTCGATCTGGGCGGGTCTCCTGTGTTCGGGAACCACTTCCCGTCCTGGTGTAATGCCACTGCAACCCCTCTTTTGAGGCTGGGGGATGTTTTGCCACATGTTGAGCTGCTCTTTTCTCTCCTGCTGTGCTTCAGTTCTGGACCCAACCAGTGGCGAGACCAACTCCGGCCGTCCCAGCTGCTTCACCTCTTCTCCCTGCAACACAATTACAAGGCTCCCACCTACAAGTCTGACCGGCTTGTCTTTCGGGAGCAAGAGTACATCCTCTCAGAACTGGGTAATGGAGCCACTTCGGGGTTGCAAATAGCTTTTCTTTGTCCAGAGCAAGAGGTGGGGGCTGGAGGTCATGAACATGCTTGTGGAGGCGGAGGGGGAATTCTCTTCCCTCAACTCCTTTCTGTCTGAGTAGATCAGCAAGCCAGGAGCAGGAGGTGGGCACGTTCCTGTTCCCCTCATGTAGCGGCCTAGGCAGGTGGGTATGTGACTTGGCTTTGCACCAAAGGTTGCAGGTTGCAGTTGGATCTGCACCAAACCCCAGGGTTGAATACAGACCCGCAATCCAGGCGCTTTAACCACAAGCTGACCCTTCCCTTTAGTGATTTCCCTTTGCTGTTTGCAGCAAGCCAGGGCAGAATACACACAGGCTGGGGGCAGCAATGTCCATCACACCTAGACACGCTCCAGCCTGGTCCTTCCAACTACTGCTTCGGCTGGTGGAACAACTCGGCTGTTTGTACGTTGGCCACACGTCTCTGCATTTCAGGGATGGAGTCACTAGAGGGAGACAATATCATACACACACAGAGCCAATGCGCAGCACCCTCGTATTTATGCCTTGGAAGGTGAGATGCACTGTAGCCGGAAATGTAAAATTAGTCCACGCCAGCAAGGAGAAAAAATTGGAGTGTTGGGGAATGCATTTTCTTGTTTGCACAAGAAAAAAATGAATAGCTGCAATTCCTCAGGCATTGGCTGGTGCCCTGTCTGACTGGCATCCTTGGAGACAGAGGTTTGCCCCTTAGAGAAAACTCTGCTTTAAAGCATGGAAGGGGTGTTTTGGCAAAGGAAGGAGGTGAAATCCCACTGTGTAGGGCCCAGGAGCAGCAGTTTGACAAATAAAGGCCTTTATAGGATTGTAGAATCGTCAGAGAGGGCAGAGGCGTGCAAAGAGGCATGACACAAGACACAGCAGAGGTCTAATTCCCCCTCCCCTGCTCTTGGGACTCACACAAATTCGTGATGCTCCCCTTAAGAGGAGATGTGGGGAAATAACTGTTCCTTCCCAGCCTCTCATTATGAGTCAGATTTTCACCAAGGGCTGGAGAGGTGTTAAACTGAGCGGGGTCTTCCCCCCTCTCCTAGCCCCTGCCTTTCACCTTCCTTTGCTTTAATGGTAATCAGTTCAAAAAACAGAACAAAGTCTGATGCTTGACCTCAAGGAGATCTGGAAACCAGCTGTGTTCGCTGAGCAATGTCAGATCTGAACCTGGCGGTATAAACTGAAGCTATTAAACACGAGAGCATGGGTTTTACAAGCACTGCACCCGGACCATTATTCCATAACCCTCACATTTGTTGTTTTCTGAGAGAGGCTTTTTCTTTTTCCTGTGCGCGCATGCACACACGCGCGCACACACACACACACACACGCACGCATGCACGCACGCCAGGTTTCCACTGCTTGGGAAATAGCCCATATGTATGAAGTTAACCACTTCAAGATATTGCCAAGAAAGGAGCTGGGATATATCACCTGAAAGTTGCAGAGCTGTAATAATATTTATGGAGCACATTTCATTTCAAAGGTCCTCAAAGGTGCACGGCTTTGAAACGAAGTGGCTGAAAGGCATCTCTGGGGTGACGTCCTTCTACCAGCCAGAGCACCGTCATGGGGCAGGGAGGGAGTGAAGGGCTTAGCCAAGGCAAAATTGGCTGTCCTTACCTGGTTGTAACAGGAACTTGAATGCCAGGACAGAGAAGGCAAAATCATTTGTTATTAATTGGTTTCATTCAACAATAGTGGAACAATATGCTTTTACCAAGGCAGTAAGGTCAGGCACGGACAGGGCTGAAGAAGTCCGGTGCTGGGTCTTGCAACGGTTTAGGCTATGGGGGACTTGCATGAGACTCCCCGCAGGTCCTGGGCCTGCGGTGAGGTGCTTTGCCCCTGCGTCCCACTGGGAATGTTGCCCTGGGCCTTGGAGGGTTGGTGATGATAGCGGATCTGAAAATGGAGGCTGTATTCCTTCTGTTCCTTCCTGGCTGAAGTGGCAGCCTGCGAGGTCATTGGGCTGGGCTGCTGCCTTTGGTCTACCAAGAGGAGCAGCCCTTGCAGAGTTCCTGAGGTGCAACCCCCCTGCTCTTGGGTGATGAGGATGTGGCCTTGCCCAGCTGAGGCCTGCGGCATGGAGTAACGGTGCTCTTTGATCTGTCTCTGGCAGAGGATGGCAAACCTGCCAATCCCCACCTGGGACCGGTGGAGGAACGTCTTGCCTTGTACGCGCTAAGGAAGCAAGGGCTGGTGCCAGAGCATGTGGAGACGAGGCCTCTTTACAGTCCTCTCCAGCCTGAAATTGAGCAGGTGAGTGAGAAGATGTGTGCAGGACAAGACCAAGAGCAACATCTCCCTGTTGATCCAGTGTTAACCAAGTCAGATGTTTTTTGTGACCTGGGAGCATCTTTTCAAAGGTGGTGTTTCACAGCAGCAGTCATTTCTCAAAGATTATCTGCCAGCTCCCAGAGAGGTTTCCATAGCTGGCTGACTTGCTGTGAACCCATCCTGAGGATAACTGTCCGGAAACAGGGGTTTTTCCCAAGGACCGGAGTCAGCTTACGGGACGGAGCAGAGCATTTGCTCTCAGATATGGGCTGGAGATCAGCTCTGTGGCTGACTTGCTCTGGGTGCCTGGGGAGGTCAACTCCATACCCTGTAATAGATTTTCATTTTCATCAACATTTGCTCACAAAAAATGTCCGTTTTGTGGAAAAGTTTTTTTTTGGTGTAGAGTTCCTTATTAGCTATAATGAAAATAATACCGCAGACTTCTCTAGCAGTGCAGCTCAGCAGAGCAGCATGATTTTTGCAGCAAGAACCAGTTCTTGGAGGTATCAAGTATTAGTTCTGTTGCAGACTGGATGTTGTTAAGCTGGATGAAATCTAAATGCGCTTCCATCCAAAACCAAGCAACAAACAGGTATCTATGTTTAGCCTAACCCCTTTTCTTTGATTAACACACATCTATATTTTACTCATTTGGGTGAAAAAATGTGGCTTCCCAAAGAAAAGGGCAATTATCATCCATCTTATGTGTTCCAGTTGCATTGCAAAGGCAGTTTCAGGAGACTGGCTCTGCAGCTGGCGTAAATGTGCGCAACCACTGCTCTGCCATTTCAGCAGTTAGCATTCCGTGCCTCGTTTTTAACCACAGAGCGAGGGGAGAGTTGCTAGTAGAAGTAAATGCTCTGGCAACCACTGTAATACTTTTTCCCATTAATTTACCTAATAAAAATCATGATTAGAGGCAGAAGGTGGCTGCTATCAGTGGAGCAGTGGGTCTGTGCTGCTCTTATGGGCACATCTGTCATGGCCTTGTTAGATGGACCATGGGGACTTCACAGAGAGAGTTTCCCTCATGTCATGTGGTTGCATATGGGAAGAGCAACCAGGGTCCGTCCTGCTCCATTGCTCCTAGTCAAGAGCAGCATTCGGTGTCCGTGGGGATGATGCTGAGTAGCAGGGGTTGGTTGACTCAGTACATGTTGCGTTCAGTGGAGTTCCCAAAAGCATGGCTCTGACCTGCTGCAAAGCCACAACAGGCTGGCTGTATCAGGCTGTTTGTGCTGAGCTAAAAGCCCAGTTGGGCTTTTAAAGTTTTCTGCTGAAACGGAAGATTTTCTTGCCAAAAAACAAACAAACCCAAACCCCTCTGTGATGGGCTAATTGAAAAAGGGTGTGTGTGTGTGTGTGTGTGTTTTTTTTTTTTTACTTTATCCCCCTGACACTGCGCAATAAAATATTTTATTGGCACCCATTAGTGTTTAACAGTTAAAGGGACCACCTGAAAAACAACACACTAAGATTTCAGCTGCATCTCTGCTGCTTTCTGCTTGGCAAGTTTATGTGAAAGTGGAATTAGATTCCCCTCTCCTCTTCCTATCTTCCACTGCCATTGCCAGAAACCCATAAACCAGCTCTCCAGCTGGTGAAGGCCAGTGGGACACCATGGGCGATAAGCTCCATGGTCTTCCATGGCTGCTTCTCCAGAGCTTCCCATGGAACTAGCCTTCACTCTGGCCCCATGTAGAACTACTCAGATGCAGAAACTAAAGACAGAATGCGCCTTCAGCTTATCCAGATTTACCTCTTATATCTTGCAGACCATTAACATCCGTCCAATTATCTTTAAAATAATCCCACCAACCTTTATATGTGGTTAAAGCACCTTCCAGAAAATAGCCAGTCTGGACTTGGTGTCAGCTAATGGCAAAAACTCCACTGCTCTTCATACTCTACTCCAGTGGTTAATCACCCCCATGGTTAACACTGGCCCTTTATCTCCAGTTCGAGGGATTCTGGCTTTAGGTTGCAGTCACCAGCACTTAATTAAACTTTTCCACTAAAGAAACCCTTAGTTTTCAACTGAGGAACCCTGGAACACTGGATGTTTTCAGGGATTTCTGTCTCCGCTACTAAGTCTGACTAAGGAGGTGAAGGCAAACCATTTAGGAGGGTTGTCAGACATTGTGTCTTTCTTTCCATACAGGGAAAGCTGCAGATGTGGGTAGACCTGTTTCCAAAATCTTTGGGTCAGCCTGGCCCCCCTTTCAACATCACGCCACGCAAAGCCAAGAGGTGACTTTTTTTTTTCTTTTTTTCCTTACTCGGTGCAGTGTTGGCTCCCTGCACCTTCTGTTTGTAAGGGGAGAAAAGAGAGATTAGAAATGTCAGATGGGAAAGGATTCACCTGCCCAGCTGAGAAATGTCTGGGTGGGAAGGATAACTCACATCTTAGCTTCATTAGCCAACAGGGCCTGCCCAGAGAGGCATCCCAGTGGAATGACCTACAGCCTCGATGGCTTCTTTGTCATGTAATCCTGTGTGCCGGGTGGGGTGTATCCACTAACCTGAGACAGGCCACAGGACAATTTCACAGGCTGGTAAAGGAGAGACTCGCAGGGTCTTGCACTGCAAAGTCCCACACCTAGGTTAAGTGTCCCTTTAGCTGTGGGGGGTCCTGAATTTAAGGTTAGAAGGCAGCTTGCTCTTAATGCAGACTGTTATCCATGGTTTGCCTCTCTGCGTTATTGAATGAATAGCATGACCAGGCCATTCTGGTGGACTCTAGACCAAAATTTCCTGGATAATCCTCACATTTCTTGAAATCACCCAGTGTAAAGTGAGTCTCAAGCACCTCCAGGGTCTGGACAAGTCCACAGGGCCACCATCCTTCATCAGAGCCTTGCCATGCCTCTCATGTTGCTCTTCTCTGGTGCGGTTTAGGTTCTTCTTGCGCTGCATCATCTGGAACACCAAGGACGTGATCCTCGATGACCTCAGCATCACTGGGGAGAAGATGAGTGATATTTATGTGAAAGGGTAAGCTACCTTGCTTCCACCTCCATGTGGTACCGCTGTCCCGAGGTGCAAGAGCAACGGTGAAGGAGTTAACGGAGCCCTTGCATTGACATTGCTTGTGATAGACATGAACCTCCCCTGGGGATGAAGGGCCATTCACACCTTTCCAGCTACGGTTCCAGCTTCTTGGCAAACGCGTCTCTGCAGGGCTTATAATTGCTTTATATTTGCAGTTCCTTTCTTTGTATCTCTAACAGTTAGATACGTACATTGGAACATATATATGTTTATATACATATTTATATGTATACATAAAGAGAGATAAGATGTGGGAAAACAACCTGGCCATCTGAGAGAGGGACACGTCTTCTGCATTTCCACCTTCTGGCCCTTTACCAGCTCCTCTCCTGGGGTAGTTACGTGCTTGTTCTGTATACATAGGTTAACTTGTTTGCATAGCTGACTTTTTTGGAATTCCCTTTTTTTCCTTGAAACACAAAAAAATGTGGCAACCAGCAGTAACTACTCTGGCACATTCCCTTCTCTGCCTGACTCCATTTATATTTTATCTCGTGTAAAATGGCGCAATCCCAGCCAAGGGACTTACTTATTTTGTACGTTCTTTGGATTTATGGACAGGAAGAGGTAGGATTTTGAAACAGACTGTAAATCCCTTTTTTACAATCCCAATTTTCCTCCTGTAAATCCAGAATGCACGCTGCTTACCTGGTATTCGCATCAAGTGCATTGTTATCAGCTCCAGCTAAGCTGCTCTGTGCACTTTGGGGCTCTGAAATAGTAGCACTTGTAGGGTGTTACTGGGAAAGTGAGAGCATCCAGCACTTGCTGATACTACTTGCCTGGCTTTTATCATTCTCAAAGACCAAAGAGATCTGCTGTAAGTGAGTTAAAAACCTTGCTCAGCTCCCTCATCTTTCCAAAAAAAAGAAAAAAAGAAAAAAAAAAGACTACATCATTAGCCTTTCTGGATACGGTCTAAGTGGCCTCATCTCCCATAAGAAGAGGATATAACCGTCCTCCTAGTGCTTGGGCACCTGCTATGCGAACAGGGACTTGGTCTAGGGCATGTGGAGAAAGTGGCCTTCATTACTGTGATGTGGTGCAGCTTTGGTGCGGACCGCTCCTTCCACCCACTGCTGCCTCCTGAGGAAGGCCTGGAGCCTGCCTTAAGTATAGGGTGGATAGATAAGAAGCTCTTCTCTGGTGCTTCTCTTCAGAAGATCTCAAAGCACTTATCTGAGGAGGCTATTGCCTGTTCATTCTCCATTTTACAGAGAAATTACCCATTAGGCAGTGTTAGGGCTGGAATCTCAGTCTCTTGGACATTATCTTCTACATAATATGTAAATTATTGCCAAGTCAGTTAGGAAGGTAAATAAAATAGATGCCTTTTTATCATACCTAAGACAGAACTTGATTGCCTTTTATTTAATTTGTTACCTATTGATAGTCTTCAACAGCATGAAAATGTCTCAGCTAAGTTTAGGTCCTGATTGTGCAAGGCTGAAGGTGTGAAGAGATTTTCCCCTCCTAAGGGTCCTATATTCCTCTATATTCCCCCTACCTCCCTTGTGATAGAGGTAGATAAAAGAGCGGTAGTGTAGGAAAATCATGTTCATTAAGAATTGAAGCTATTTTAGGGGTGAATAGCCCTATCTGTCTGAGTAATATTATCAGTATCATAGATAAAGGATATTTTTGTATTGTTTTCAAAGACAAATTCCTAATAAAAAGTTTTACTTCACCAGGAGAGTGGACCAACACTAAACCAAGCTTCCTAGGACAGTGGGTTTTCCTAGGTCCTGCGAAGTTTCCAAGACATGGCTAGGCAAAAACCCTCTGAGGAGGCTGGACTGGAGGTTTCCGGAGTCCCCTTCCAGCCATCCAGCGCTACTATGATTTATACTATGTTATGTGGCATCTTTAAACCTCGTCTCAGGCTCCTGCATGCCTTTTTGGGTTCCTAAATGAAAGGATGGTCTTGATCGTCAGAGACCCTACACACATGCTGAGCTCGGTGGGAGGTGTGCATGTGTGAGAATACAGCCACCTCTGTAAATATGCACAAATGTTGATCTCAGAAGCTAACTTTGCCTTTGGGTATTGCAGATAGTTTAAGCTGCATGGATTCAAAAAATACTGGACAAATTAATGGATTAAAACTCCATCAAAGCCTATTTTTTGAAAAAAGCATTATCTACAGGAAATCTCTGACCTGTAATTTGTCAGAAGCTGGGGAGTTATGTTGGGAAGGCATCACTGTGCATCAGCCTCCTTCTTATAGTCCTTTTTAGATGTTTAGCCCCTGCCAGAGGCAGGACGTGGGGCAAGATGGGCCTTTGGTTGATTCACCACAGCGATTGCTATATTATGTTTTTAATTCTGGGACACTGTGATTTGAATGCTTTTGATTTCTGGCATCTCTTTCCTGCAGTGGAGAGAGTGCAGCAAGTTCTGCAAGATCGAAAACTGTGCCAACAAAGAGTCCAAATCAAACTGTTTATTTGTCCTTTTGTTTGCCTGCAAGGAGAGGGCGCTCACACTGCATCTTCCGAGGTTCCTTGCCAAGCTTTTAAGGACATGAATAAACACACAGGCTTACCATTTGCATCCAATAAGATCAAATCAAATAATCCGGCCACAATTTAAGAGTTAGCGTAACCTCATCACACAATTCCCAGTGCCACCGAGCCCTTGCTGTCCGTGCAGCACATGTGCATATGATCTGTATTGCAGGATGAACTTGAGTAGACCTCTCTTTCCTGTCTCCCCCAACACATTTGGGTCTGGTCATGTGCTCCTCTGAGGCACTGGAGAAGAGGGAATCATTTGTATAGCTGGGCAAAAAACCATATTTTCAATTTAAGTAGAAAACATTCAAACGAGATAATTGTTTTAATTAGAAATTCCCCCAGAATCTTTTGGCTTTCCTCCAGAAGGGCTGCAAATACACAAATGGATATGTTTTATTGTTTTGTTTTGTGCTGTCGATTGCTGAAGACCGACAAATCTTGGACGGGGAGAGAGGGCAGAATGAAAACCGAACACTTGCAAAACTCACAACTGGAAAAAATAGTTGTTATGAAAAGCTTTCTGTTTGCCCCGGACTGGTTGTGTGGACTGACCACAGCAAGCTTTTTTAGTCCAGGAGAGGAACTGCGCTGTGAAGGTCAATCTCTGACAGAGAACAGCTGGAGATCACTCTAGCCACAGCAGGGTCAGCTCGCTGTAGGAGTTTCACGGGGAAGAAATTCTTGGCCATTTTGGACTTTTGACTTATACAGACTTTTAGAAACCAACAGAGAGTAGAGGGCAAAAATAGTCCTTCAGTTCGTCAGCATGGTTGCTTCCATCAGGAGGTCTGGTTTTAGGGGCTAGTGAGGTTAGTTTGCTGGAAGGGGGAAGGACCTCTCACGAAGCCAGGCTAGAAGCTAACCTGTTCTTGTGGTCGGATAAGTGACAACTTTGAGCCAGAGCTTAGAGCTTTGTTGAGTCTTTAACATATCCACAAAGCCTAGGGGAAAGGTGAGGGAGGTGAAGAGACTCAAGCAACTCTCAGACTGCTACCACCAGCAGTAGTTCACCTCTCAACCCCATATGACTGTTATATTTTCCCTCTAGTCTCCTGTGGGCTGCAGGTTACCCTTACAGATAGCAGCCCGAGGCGTCTAGCATTAGGGTGAGAGACACTTTCTCGCCTGCTTGTGGCGTCTGTGAAACGGGGTGAACTCCAAAATGCTTGGTTTGTTTCTAGTTCTTCATGCAATATGTTTGCATTTGCCAGATGGCTGATTGGCCACGAGGAAAACAAGCAGAAGACAGATGTGCACTACAGGTCTATGGGAGGAGAGGGCAACTTCAACTGGAGATTCATCTTCCCCTTTGACTATCTCCCTGCTGAGCAAGTGTGCTATGTCACAAAAAAGGTGAGTGTCCCTGGATGGACATTTCTAACATCTACCTTCCTGTAGTAACTCTGGGGTGAAAAATGTGCTGCTTGTTCCAAAATCTGCAGAATTGCAGCAAGCTGAAGCTATACAGGGATCAACCTTACCTTTAAGCTATTTGAAATGGAAAGTGGTGGACAGATGGGGAAATTGGTTTAATGAAAGAGTCAGGAGAGACCTACCCTCCAGGAAAGGCACCTCTGGACTGTGGGCAGCAGAATACTGGTGCAGCAGCAGCAAAGTACTCTCCTGATTGCATGGGACTTCCAAGATACCTAGTCAACAACAGGGTTACTCCAAAGATGGAGACGACATTTCCTCTGTGTAGACTGATGGAGAAGGTCAGGTGCGCACCTCTGGTCTTCAGCGTGGCATAATGGGCATCAAGCTATTGATTAACTTGACAGAAGGGCTGAACAGGGGTGACAAGAGGGAACAGCCTCCAAGTATCTGAAGGGCTAAGCAGCAGGGATGTGTAGGGGAACAGGGATTGTGATGTACCGTTGATGCGGAGATGGGAATACAAGCTTTTGTTAGGGATTCAGGATGGCGATGCCCTCGGACTAGTAAGAGACCTGGTTACTAAGGTGAGGGATTGAAAAGTGGATGTGGTTTTGGTCTCATCGTTCCAACATCTACAGTTAGCTATTACTTCTGATATTCCTTCTTCAAGTCAGTGCAGTGTGATGCCCAAGTGTGGACTGGGAGTTGCATGGAGGGAAGGAAATGGAGGGAGGGAGGTGGGACGGATACATAGAATGATGCTAAGGAAAATTGGACTGGCTTTCAAGGAGTACTTTAGGGGAGGGTATCTGTTCACTTGATTTTAAATTTCCCGCTCAAAGCACCTGGAAATTAACAGCACTGTTGTTGGGTTTGTGTGTCTGTATGGAGAACAGGGACAATCTCAGCTTTCAAGACTAGGTCTTGCTTTGCGGCACCCCAAAAGCTCAAATTCCTTCACCCACCCCAACCCTGAGTCTTTGTTCCCGTTCCCTGCCTTGTCCACAAAAGCTTGGTCTCTGCATGCATTTGAATATGGCGTGCCCAAAGACAGCTTGTTGCCGTGGGACCGTCAACTTCCACAAGGCTCTCCTGGGATCTCCTTCCCAGTTTGTTTTATGGGGACCAGTAAGATCCCAGCATGACCTGGGTTTGAACAGGCACTTTAGTGGCAAAGATGCTGAATGAGTTCCCAATCCCTTGAGCCAGACGATCCGCGCAAGGGGGCCTAGCTTCAAAATGAATCGCTGGATAGTTAAATTGATTGACAGAATCATAGCTGTACCCATTTCACGCTTCATGTTAAACAAATCAAAAGTACAGTGTGTACTACATTCAATTATCCCCCTTTGAAAAAGCAAAGACCCCCCTATAAACCGTTTAAGAAAATACATCCCACTGTGCTGATATTGATTCTCCTCCGACCACATGTCTGCCAACACTGTATCAGAAAATAAACAGCTTGTAAAACCTCTCTGTAAAGGAAAAAATAATGAATGAAAAGCCATGCTTTGTATTTGTGGGACACATTCCGCTCTGGCAATTTTTGATCTCACCATGTGCTGTTTGAACTCTAGGTTCATTACTGCTGCTGTAAAAGCCCATGCACCGAACTTTAAACACAGGCGATGGAAAGTGGAATTTAAATCAAAACGGTCAGATGGCAAATTCTGAGCTGCTAAAAGCCACCTGCACCCAGCCTCGCTGGTGTTGGCCTGTGGAGAGAGTACTGCTGGGAGGAAAGCAGCTTACGTTTTACTCTCCTTTCTTTGCTCCTCTAGCCTTGGGATGCCCAGATATAGCCAGGACAGTTTGATCTTTGCTACAACACTAGAAGTTTTAGGGACCTCAACTCCAAAGCTTCAAAGGTGTGGGATCCCTTTGGGTTTCAAGGCTTCCATCTTCCCACTGAGCCTGATGGGAAAGCCCTCAGGAAGGAAACTTGGAAAGATTTTGCTTCTCATGTCAAAACAGGAATTTCTCCCATCCTGAATTTCAAGAAAAATCCCTACAAAAAAGGGATTCCACCATCAGAACAGCTCTTTTCAAAACACAAATTCGTGTTGCTTTATACATTCTCTCTTGTGTTTATTCAGAATTTCCTTCTTTTGTTTCCCCTTCTTTTTGTGCAGTCTTTCTCTAGCAGCAGCCTCTAGAGATCCTAATTATGGGTTCCCTTGGTTAGGTACTAGCTGATTACAGCGATGCAGGATCAGCACATGCACCTTTGGGCAACTCAGGTCATGACATTGCAATGATGCAAACCAGGAAGCCTCCAGCTCGCTGAGCCCTCAAGAGGGTATTTTGTTAGGATGCAAATAAGGAAGTTGTTCTAGTGAAAGGGTTAATGGTGCTCCAACGAGCGTTGCATATCACTTAGCAGAGGAAGAAAAGGTAGAAAGGTAGATTGAGCAACACTGAAAGATTTGCATGAAATTGCATGTTGACTTACTTAATGGGGGGAATAGGAGGCCCAGATCCCAGATGAAGTCCATATTCTGCTGCCAGCTAGCAGGAAGAAGAGCCAATGTCTACCAACTTTGAACTCCAGATCCCCAGGTCTAAGTCTGGCAGGTCTTGATTCCTGCAGACAGTTTTATCAGATGGTCATGGTACCACCAGACGCTATCAAGAGCAATGCCAAGATAGACCGTACGTGGATCACATTTCACTGGGCACCCAGTCAGAGTGACATTCAGCTCCTGAGTCACAGAGGCGCCGTGGAGGTGGAAAATGCATGAAATTGATTTTGAAATATTCAGCTTCAAGTGCCAATTACAGCGGTAGTTGATATAACAGCCAGATCTGAATTCTAGATGTCCTCTAATGCAGAAAGGCACTGAAAGTCTGAGCAAACGTTTTCTGCATAAGTAGATGTTCAGAATAGGATTTCAAGAGCACGACAACATGTAAAGTTAATAAATATTGGTGTTTGTGTGGACCTAGAAGTAAAACATTAGGTCAGAGTATCCAAGACAGATTTGCAAATGCCAATTGACTTTGAGTTGGAGCTCTCTGGAGAGCCAACAGATAAAATTCCTACGTTTCTGGCTTAATCATATCAAATGTGGGTTGGATTATATGTCTCACTAGGTAGCTGATTTTTACTGACTATAAGATGGCCTGGGACATCTGGATGCCTAGGTCCCTGCTTTCTGGCAGGGTCTGTACAGGCACTCCAGGTTGCCTTGCAGACATTTCTGCTGGGCTTCAGGGCACTTCTAGCTACAGAACTGGGAAGCCAGCATGAGCCAGAGAAGGCCAAAGCTTCCTGAGAAGAAAGATGTCAGGGATGATGCACCAAAACGCCTGGGGAGGGGGAGGGCTTTCAGTTGAGGTGACTCCGCAGAAGTCAAGAGAGAAATCCTGAATTATTTAGATGGTTGAATAAGTTGTGCTGCTTGAGACAGTGGGAAAAGACCAGTAATATTCCATGAGGCCAAGTCCAGGAGAACCTCTTCTTCCAAATTCAGCTGCTGCTTTAACCAACGGCATTTACTGCAGTCAGCAGTATGTGCAGACAGGTGTTTCAGGCATGGGAAAACTTGCTTGCTTGAAAACTTCTCAATATTAGATCACATCATGGAAAATGGCAAAGGTGATAGTACTGAATAGACAGTATTTGTTTCTTCGGACAGCTGTGGAGCAGGAAGTGAAGGGAACACCAGTTTGTTGCCCTATAAATGGGTTGGAAGACACTTACCTCTCTCTCATATTTAAGAGCCAGTATAGGGCATGTGAATAACAGAACAAAAAAGATTGGCAGGGATGGGAGCATGCTGCTAGCATGCCTAGAAATAGGTGGTCATGTAGGATAGTCTGAGGAATAATGTAATGGCTGTGAGACATCAGTGATGCTTCCACATATGTAGCTGAATAATTGAGGCCCTGTCTCTGCAAGGCACAGTCAGTATATGCTGAAGCCTCCAAATCTGCTGAATACAACAGCAAACCTGACTTTTGGAAGGGTTTTTATGTAGCTGGTCAGCTGGTGGCATCCTAGAAATCACACCAGAGAGGGGTCCTTAGGAAGGAGATGAGAAAGAGAGAGGTTTGGTGACTTAAACCCATATAAAGAGAAAAGTGCAAAGGCATTTGCGGGAAAAGCAGGCAAAAAGGAGGCTGTGTAACTCATAGGCTTATCTCGCTCCACTGCTCTGAGCATTACTGCTGAGTGGAGCTGAGAATAAATTTCTCCCTCCCTGGTGTTGAAGCTCTCCCAGCTCCATCTGGTTTCATCAATTCTTGTTACTTTGTCTATGGATTCATTATAGTGTCCTGATATCTTCCTGGTACTGACAGCTTGGACCTGTGATGGGCCAGAGCCTCACCTGGGGCAAATCAACCCTTGCATTCCTCCGAGCCATGCAGATTCACACCAGCTGGGAAAGAGGAACGGGTGCCAGCGAAGGGGCTCGCTGGGACTGCACTGTTGTAATTGATTTTGTATGGGAGAGGCTCACACTGTGCAGCGATGGTTCGGAACATAACGCTTCGCATCATCTGAGCACGCGGGTGGCTTTGACTCAGTGTAGTTGTAAGGCAGGGCTAGAGTTTACCCTTGAGGTAATCGTGCAGTTTCTGCTTTGTTGTTGTTGTTGTTGTTGTTTTTCTTTTATAGAAAATAGCCAGGAGTGTGGAGTTTCTGCAGCTGCATCGCTGTGTCATCCTTTTGTTCCACTACATTAGTGCCCAAAACTCAAGGGTGTACCAAGAAAAGTTTATGCCCTGGTTGGCTCTGGTTTGAGATTTTTGAGTATCGAATTCTGATTTTTCTTAAAAACAGACAATATCTTGTCAGATTGAAATTTTCATTCCTTTTTAGTCTGAAAAAGTTTAGGGGAAAAAAAGTTTATTACTTTTTAATTTTGGAATTTTTCCTCTCCTGTTTCTCTTTCTTTATTATGCACCCCCCCCTGTTTATTTGGGTGACATTAGAAAACCAAGAAAAAGAAGTTCATTTTCTTTCCACGTTTGGCCAAAATGCATCATTTTGAACGTGTTCCAAACGCATTTTTTTTTTTCCAGAGGAGACACAGTTAGAGGAAGCAGTCATATATTATGTATTTTAATGAGCCTGAAATAAGCAGATATAATGATATAAGGACATTCTGTAATATAACGAGGCTGAGCAGTCACGGCCTGTGACTGCATATGATGTGATGCATAGGCAGCAGTTACTGGTCTGAATTTTGCTTTCCAGTGGATGCATGGAAAGGGATGTGCAAAGCATGACTATTTTGGTAGCTTAAGGTGCAGCACTGCTGCTCACAAAGTGGCCAAGAGCAGGACCCCAGGGCTCAAAGATCGTGAAAGGCAGCGGGACAGCCACATGGCCTTGGAAAAACCTGATAAACTCTACCAGAAAGGCAGTGTGCGGAGAATGAGAAAATAGCATTGCACCAAGCGCTTCCAGGGACTGAAGCGAGAGTACATGCCCCAAGGCAAATATTATGACTATTTAACATTTATGGTGTGGTGACGCCTGGAGTCTTCCTCCAGGTATTGGCAACACTGAGCTCAAACACAAAGCAGACACTGCACGCTCAGGACTGAGCTGAGCTGCCGTCCTGCTTGGGCACAGAGCTCTGCGGGAGACGGCGCTGAAGAAAGTCATGAGTCAGCCTCCCTCTGAGATTATGGGGCTGGCTTCGAATGCAACAGGCTCCTTTCAGCTTGCGTCCTGGCTTTTGATCCCCAAGAGATATGTTTTGGAGCTTTCTTCCCTTGCAAATAACAGGTTAGATGTTTAAAAAGTGGGAGACTCACGTTATCACCTGACTCCAGGAGCTGGGACTTTTAGAAACAAACAGAAAAAAAAGGGGGGGGGGGAAGCCAAGTGCCCTGAGACCTGGGATACAATTGTGGGAGCTGGCAACAGCAGGGAGATCAAAGAGTTGAGTTAGTCCAATAAAAGTGTAATAATGAGCGATTTCAGCTGTCTGCTTATTGCAAACAGATGACATCTCTTAATGGGATAAGGTTCAGCGAAGCGGTTTCCCAACACCTTAGAGGATGGCCCTGCTCAATGGCCCGTTCCCACTCCCGCAAGAGAAGAGGCTCTTCCCAGCTGCTACGGGGCTGGAAAGGCAACGGGGAGAGTGGGGAGGGCCTTCTGCATGGCCAGAGTGGCTGGGACACCCCAGGAGGCAACGCGCACCCGAAAGGAGCCAGGCTTTCTGCAAAGCTTCGGCCTGGGAGCCAGCGCGGGGAGGCCTCCCAGAAAACGAGGGGTTGCTCTTTACTTTGTATTCTGGCAAACATAAGCAACCCAGAAGAAATGCAGCCCTGTCAACACTTTCCCAGTGATATGAGCGCTTTTTTCTTTTCCTGCCTCCCCTGCTGCATTATTCAAGACCATAAAATATTCACCGGCCTCCCCGCTCCTTCCTCCCCCACCACTGCAAAACAAAACCCCAAACAATAATTCAAGCCCCCTTCCTCGCCGTGTCTTGCAAAAGGCTAGGAAATAAATTTCTTGCTATGGGTTGTTTTTATAGTGCACCTTCGTAGCGAGATTTAATCATGGAGGCCAATTTCACACCGCCTTGAAATGGACCCATAAACTTAGCTCAGCATCGAATTCCTCCCCTGCCCCTGCGCTGAGCCACGCTCGCAGCCTGCTTTTCCAGCGCTGCTCTGCAGTGTCCCCGGCTTCACGGGGCTCGCAGGAGGAAAGCTCTGCCACCAGCCAAAACCACATTTACAGGCTTTTTCCACAAGAAAGGCCAAAGCTATACAGACCGTGCTTGTGCTGTACGAGTTGTGCATCGCCAACCAGAAAGGGTCTGATCCTGCCTGAGTCATCCTGTGTCAGGGAGGGAGTCCCAGGCAAGTCGGGGCATTGCTCTTGAGGGTAAAAGTGGTGCTGGGGAGGGAGGCCGTGGGCTGTAGTTACCATTCGCTTGTCCAGGAGAGGGGTTTCTTTTCTTTTGACCACAGGCAAGTCTCTAGGCTTTGCGAAGAAAGTGCAAGGCCGGCAATCGTACGGTCAGTCCCGGGGAATGGAGACGCTGTTGTGTTTTATTGCTTGGGAGATGACTGCGAGCAACCCGCAGCTCCTGCTGGCTCCCAGCTGAGCACTATGCACTATGTGGTCCTGGGGAGAGCTTTGTCCCCATTGGCCAACAGGGAGGGAGCCCACCAGGAAGAGTGGGATTGCTGCAGTAGGTCAGGGAAGTAATTCGGGTCTTGCAACAACCTGCCTCTTCTGGTTCATGCTGTTTCCCCATCAGGGCACTCATAGGGTTGGGTCTTCCAGACAGTACTATGTTTCTCAGAGATCAAACCTACCATCAGCTAGCCCCTTGCTGTCAGAGGGGCTGCTCAGATGCTGAGTTTTACTCAAGTTTGACTTTGGGTACATGAGGCGATCCAAAGAAAAGGTCCAATGTGCGCTCGGCAAGGTGTAGTCTCGCCTCATGAATGGAAACGGAGGGATCGAGCGCAGTGCTCATGGGCACATCTGAACTGGCTTTGATCCAGCAAGCACAGTGGTGCTCCTGAAGCATGGACGTGTCTGACTAATGCAGGTATTTGTGGTGGTGAAATCAATCTCTGGCCAGGCAAATTAGTAATCACTGCAGAGTAGGAGGCATCTGTAAGGCATGTTTTGCTCTGTGCCAGATTGAGCATGTACAGTAGGTCACTGGATTTGCCCTCTGTAAGGGTCTGTTCCCTCCAGCGGTCCCACTGGCCCACTGATCGGGGTGTCCAGGTCTGATGCACATCACATGAGATGGGTCTTACTCCATCTCTCAGATCCCAGATGTATGTCTCCTGCCCACAGCGAAGCCCACGTTGTCTGGGCTATGCAGCAGCTGGTGCCTTGGCAGGCCAGAGTAAAGTCAACATGGATGTATCAAGCCGTGCTGAGACCTGGCCTTGCTCTAGGGTAGATGTACTCTAAGTTTTGGCTGATGCTGCCAATAATTCTACATCCTCCCATCCTGCAAATCAGAGCAGGTCTGTCCCAGTGCAAAGCAAACAGCTTGCATGATTTAGGTGCTTTGCTTTAAACCCCAAGCCTTCTCCGTAAGTCTTTTTAATCTGATTGCTGCCTTGTGCATGCACAGGTTCATGGCACCGGGGGATTTTCTGTGGGTGACTAATAGCTCCTTTGCAGCACAAGATCTGACCAATATGTGGGAAGGGAAGAATCGCCATAAGCATTTTCCCTTTTTAGCAGTTTTAATTTAAAACGAGTTATTAGCTGGGAAAACACAGCCCTTCCCCCCACTTGGGTAAACATACACTTTAATATGTTTCAGTGAGGAGAGGATGAGAGATAGAAGTTTCCATTGATTTTATTTTTTTTCCCTAGATTAAGAAATATTTAAAACGCGTAGGTAAAATGCTCCATTGCAAAAATGCTGGTCTCCTTTTCCAAAGCAAGGCGGGGAATGGAGCTAAATTGAAATATAACCTTCTAGGGTGATCTCTTAAAGTGAAACCAGTTTCAATGGGATTTAAGTGCCTCCCTCCACCCACAGTCTCCCTGCTTGAATATTTATGTTCTTATGGAGTGTGACACATTCTTTTTTTTCCTTTTTTTTTTATATTGCATGATATAATGAATCAGAGTTTTGTAGCCACAGCAGTGAATTTATGGTGCTACGTATGTGTCATGAATAATGCTGAAGTTTCCTGGTTTTAATTAAATCTGTTCCATTTATGATACTGCTATGTTGCAACAGTGCGGTAGGAGGCAATGCCCACAGGACACCCTCGAAATGTGTGCTGTCAGGAGACACTGGTCGTGACTGCCTCCTCTGTGCAAGAGTTGGCTGGAGCCAGAAACAACAAGCCCTTGTTTTGTGCGTGTCTCCATCTCTCTCCTTCTCTGTCCTAACACATCTTGGTCCTAACCTTCAGGCATCTTCTGGCATCCTAGTACTGGTATTAGACCCCTGCTGGGAAATATTACCAGTTGCAACCACATGAATAGCAACTTTTGTGAGATGGGCAAGTAGCCCATATATTACAATGCTGTGACCGCAAACTCATTGTCACAGTAATAGGATTCAAACACTTCTTGTTAGAGGAGCCTAATTTAACGGTTCCTCTCCATTGTCTTTTTGGGGACTGATGGTTTGACTACCAAAAGTCAATCTGGCTTGCTCTTATCTGTCTGGCTCCTATCTGCCAGAGTAACCATGCCACTGGTTGGTGAGGTGAGGTTTGGCAGTGCTGGCACGCACCACTCATTGCTCTCGTTACCGTGGAGGGTACATGAGTCAGGCACCATGCTAAATCGTGTGAATATGATCCTGTGACTCCCAAAGAGATCTTAATTGCAAGCTCACGGCGGCTGTTTGCTCACACGTTGTCACTAAGTAAAAAGGCGCAAAGCGATTGACCTACTTGACTTCCAGGAGCACCTTGCAGCTTTGTCCAAGGACTGGCCAAAGCCAGCACAGTCCTCATGTGGCCATCACCCTGCAGCACAGGAGCAGTACACACCGGGGAGGGGGGTACGCCACAGGATTTCCACTGCCCGGAAATTAGAGTAGCCAGGCTCTGCCTGCTTCTGCTAATGAGCTTTTTTTCCTGGTTTCTTTTCTGGTGTGATTTTAGGAGCACTTCTGGAGCTTGGACAAGACTGAAAATAAGATTCTACCACAGCTTATCCTCCAGATCTGGGACAATGATAAGTTCTCTTTTGATGACTATTTGGGTAAGTGGGGAGATGTTTTTGGCTCCATTCCTGCTGATGCAGACACAAAGCAAGCAATTATTGAATCCTTTCACGATATGAAGAAAATCTAACAAGACTAGTTCAGACCAGTCATCAGCATTCAGTGGCAGAATAGTTCAGGACTGGTGATAAGTAGTTTATATTAGGCAGATTTCCAGTCTCAGCCTGCAGTAGACTGTTGCTGGGCTGACATAAACTGTCAAGAGCATCATCGTATCCAACAGATCCACCATCTCCCAGGAAGGCCAAGCAGAGGGATTATACCATTCACTCAGTCCTTCAACTCTCTCCCTTAAATATCCTTAAGCGAGCAGACCTTTCCCCTAGAGTTTCCTATAAATTTCTACTTGTTTGTGGGAGGTTGTTGCTTCCAGTGCTGTCTCCATAATAAGGGAGAATTATTGGCCTCAATCCTTTTTATAACCCATTTTATATCCTCTATTTGTAACCACTTTTCATGTCTCCCTTCAGTCCGCTCTCCTCCCAAAGAAGCATGTCTGCCCTTTCAGCCCTCACCAGCTCATTTCCATCCCGCTTGCTGTGTCCTTCCAGACGGGACCGTAAGACGTCACGGTTCTGCCTGGTCTGCGTGGACCTGCATCAAGGCTAACCTTATATTTCCGCTGAAACCACCAGACAGAAGCATTGTCCTGTCTTGTTTTAATTGGGATGCATATATATAAAACACAGCTGGGTCTAGCGCTTGCCTCTTCCAATGCTGGCCTAGGTAATCAACCTCACCAATCTAGGTTTAGGCCAAGAAGGAAAAAAAAGTGCCTCTAATATGAAAGACAGCAGAGCAATGCAGTAGATTATCTCTGCAGAAGTTGGAGCTTGCAGCATCAGGATTTTTTTTTGATGGATCTTGTTCTACCTTTTTTTTTTTTTTTTTACCACTAAAGAAATTTCAAATATCAGAAACTTTACTGAGCAAGTACATGATTAAGATCCTTTTAAATCCTTAATCTTTAACCTGTTTGGCTAGATCTTTTGTTCTTATTCACAGTCTCTAAAAGCTGTGTCTCCTTTCTACTGTAAGGTGCATTCCCCCACACATCACAAGCTCTCGTTCAATCTCCTCTGTACAACTGCCAACAAATTCCTTGCAAATTCTAACAAATAAAAATGGTCCTTGGCTTTTATATAGGACTTTTCATCAATGGACCTCAAAAATGTTTCGCAGCAAACCTAATTTCTTCTGTTATTGTCCTTGGATGCAAGAAACCGTGGCACAGAAAACCTAAGGATACAAGCATATTAGTGAATGTGATTCATCCACATCCGTGTGGCTACTGTCCCTCAGCTGAGCTTTAGTAAGAGACCTAGTGCGTGCTCTTGGCGCTTTCCGGTTGTAAGGTAAAATAGTGTAGCAGAGTAAATTAAATGCAGGCGCTTTAAGCTTACGTGTTTCACCTTGAAACTGATGTCCATTGCAACTGCTCAGCTGACAGGTGGTAACTTTCTCATCCACTGCAAATATGCTATATTCATTCAGTTTACTATTCTTTCATCACTCAGGAAGCCTATGGTAGAGAACTGAGCTCACATTTCCTCAAGGTTAGCAAATTACACTAATTTTAAGGCCACTCTTTGTCTGAGAAGGAAGCTATTAATTTTGTGAGATAACATTCATATTTAGACTGCTGCAATTACTTTGTTGGCTAGGACAATAAGACAGCGCGTCTGGAGATCTGTGAGCCTCCTGCCCAACGCTCTTATACTGACTGTGCTGTAGATGCATTCAGTTTGAGTTTCACCTAAATGTCTTAATCTTCATTGAAAATCCCAGCCTGCCTCTCTGACCTCAGTGCAAACCATCCAAAGTGATAGCTGCATACAGACAACTACAGAGGTAAAGTAGGTAAATGACGAGAATAGCTTTCATCAGACTTCTAATAGAGCTTGGTTAGTGGTGAAACTCAATATAGACACACAATAGAGATATAAATGTGCTCCTGACTGTCTACTGGACATTTTTCGCCTATAGAATTCAAAAGCAATGCACAGAATGAGCTATAAGTGTGCTTTCTGTCTGGGACCTTCCCACGGGTACACCCACACTGTGGGTTAAGCATTCAATCTGGTCACCTCTTCAGACCTGGCCTGACCTCACTCTGCAGTTGTAACAACTCATCCCGTTTTAAGCATCCCACCTCGGTATGAGTTTTAGAAATGCCTTGGAGTAGGTCTACCAGGACAACCAGAATAGCTGAAGTACTCACCAGCCCAACCAGCCAGTAGATAGTGTACAGGGTCTAGCAACCTCTCCTAGAAGGACTTCATGGCTACCATAGCAAGAGACAGTGGGATACCTTTTGGACCAGAGCTCAGGTCTTCCTAAGTGCAATGGTGATGCTGAGTGCTCAAGTCCTAGGCAGATCCAGGGGCTAAAACCGGTGCTATGCCTGGAAAATAGGACCACACTTGATTTGCTCTTCCCCTGCCTGTGTAGGTATGCCCAAGCTCTCTGAGGTCACGAGGGTGCCATGGTGAGTGTTTCTGAGCTTTCAGGGAAATAGTCCTTGTTTTAAGGAGCTGTTACACCAAGGTGTCTTCCTTATAACATTCCTCCTTGCAGGCTCCATTCAGATGGATCTAAACCGGATGCCCAAACCTGCCAAGACTGCTGAAAAGTGCTCTTTAGAGCTAGTAGATGAGACCTTGTCTTCAGGACGTTTTGTATCGCTCTTTGAGCAGAAAACTGTCAAGGGTTGGTGGCCCTGTGTTGCTGAGCAGGATCAGAAGAAGATCCTGGCGGTAAGGACTTTCATGCTCTTTGGCAACCTCTTTATGCATTTTCCTGTGGGGGGAACTCACTAAAAGCGTTGAAGAGGGAAGTGGTTGGGCCAAACTCATGCAGAAAGCCACGGTCAGGGCAGTAAACTCAGTTTTGGCCTTCGGATCTTACAAGCTGGACCAGTCTGTGCCAGCTGGACGTTATCTGGGATTTTTTACAGCATGATGCAAATGCCTCAGGACAAATTGTTTGTCCTTTTGGATATTGCTTCTGTGTTTTGAAACTTTGCCAAATAATTTGACTCTCTGTCCCATATATTCTTAACGCTATGGTGTTGTGGCTAGTAGTATAGAAAGGATTCAGTTGTCAGACTAATATATTTAAAGGTAAGTGTCTGGGCTCCAATGTGAATTAGTGACAACCATTCAGTACAGGTAATGGAGCCTATCTAGTGAATGAAATCATCCAATAAAGGGCGTCAGCTCAGTTACCTAAACTTGGGTGTCGATGACATTTGAGGTGCCCTGAGGTATCTGGGATGACTGCCCAGATATAGCAGATAGGAGGCAGGACTCAGGGGAATGGCAGGACATGCCACAGAGCCTGAAACACTAGGAGGTGCCCATGTTTAAGTGCTGAAGCCTGAACTCACCTGCCTAGGTGAGTCTCACCTGCCTCACTCGCCTTACTTAAAAGGAGATGAGTCTCCCTCCGGACATCATCGATGGAATTGAAATAGATATCCAGGGACTATAGCGGGAACCTGGGCACTTGGTGTGCCTGGGCATAGACACTTTGCGCGCCTGCGCATAGACACATCATGCCCCTGTAGTAGACACCTCCAGTGAACAAATTGTATCTTATAGTCCTGGCCCCTGAGACCTTAGAGTCTAAGTTGCCTGAGGCTAGGCGATGATTTCCTCAGAAGTATGACTTGCTGCCAGCTTTACATAGATAATAATGTGGGTTTGTAAGTCCCAGCTTGTAGCTCATAAGCAAGTTTCTGGAGACTAGAAAATTGCTCTGCATACTAATCTCAGTCATGGGATATAGGTAGCCCTGGTCCTGCAGGCTGGTGTAATTGTACACTTGGATATTTGGTTTGCTGGGAATCATCACCATTGTTGGCTTATTCTCCATTTTCTTGTCATACCTTTCGGCATATGATCTCCTCTCCTAGGCCTTTGAATTCTTTACATGTAGAGCAGGGACGACACCAGCTTAGCTAACGATAATATGAAGGAACCCAACATGGCTTCAGTTGTTTTGATGGGAGGAAGATCAGTTTCAACAGGCTAGAGCACATCCATGTCCTGTCTGATACCTCTACTCCTGTTCTGCAGTGGTAGTCTTCACTGCCTAGGAATATTGCAGTGGGCAGGTACAGAAATCTGGCCTTACCGGCCTCCTTGTGGTCCTTGTAGGTGGTGGCTGGGTTACATTCAACTATTCTTTCTTTCCCTAATCAGTGTTTTACATCATAAATTCATTTCATTTCTTCTCCTCCCTCTCCCTTTTTTTTAACCCACACAGGGTAAACTGGAAATGACTTTGGAAATTGTGGCAGAACAGGAGCATGAAGAGCGGCCAGCGGGGATGGGTCGTGATGAGCCAAATATGAACCCCAGGCTGGAGGACCCCAAGTAAGAGCATCTTAAATAAAAAATAACCATCAGGGCACAGAGTTCTTAAGGAGCAAATTAAAAAACTGGGGTCCTAGCCTGAGACACTGCAGTCTGCAATGGGCTTGCTCTGGTTTAGGCTGCATTTCTCAAGTGCTGAGCTCAGACTATACAAGCTGAGACAGTCCAGAATGGCTGGGGGGGTCTGGCCTGGACAGCCGAAGAGACCAGTTGACATCCTCTGTCCAGGGGAATGTGCATTTCCAGGGTGCGCAGCCTGCTCATTACAGCGGGGTGTCCTGGTCAGGGTTCCGGGATGGTGGTGGCCCTCCTTTGGGATGCTCAGTCCTACCAGGAAACTCAGAAGTGACCTCCACTTTGTCTTGGCTTCAGACGCCCAGAGACCTCCTTCCTGTGGTTCACCTCTCCGTACAAGACCTTGAAGTACATCCTGTGGCGGCGGTACAAGTGGGTGGTTATCTTGGCCCTCGTGCTCTTCATTTTGCTGCTCTTCCTTGGGATCTTCATCTACGCCTTCCCGGTATGATAGGTGTGGGAGAGGAGAGGGGGGATGAATAAGCCCCACCAGGTGTTCCCCAGGTGCAGTGCCAAGTCTCAGTGGCTGCCCAGCCTCAGTTTTGTCCATGCACATGCTTACTCTGCCTTGACAGAGATGGTCCCAGGGCATGTGGCTGCAGAGTTCCACGCTGGTCCCGGGGGAACAACCCTGTGGACTGCTAGGGGCCAGAAGCAGAGTTTGTGCATCTGCTGCAGAAGCACTGCAAGGCGCGCACCTCTTTGTGCCTATGTTTTGTTTGCTCTCTAACAATGCCAAGGTTAATTGATTGTTCCCAAAGAGAGATTCGAGCAGCTGATGTCAGAGGTGTAGGGTCGGTGGGAAAATCCCTGAGAAAAGCACAGCCTAATTAGAAAAAAAGTCATTTTACAGGGCTGAGCAGTGGCAAAAAACTGTATGGGTCAGTAATTGTTTAAAGATGCAGGCTAGTTTACAGGCATTTGGGCAGCCCCGTCTCTCATTATCAAGGCTTGGAGCAGTTTATACCAATATAATGTCTCAAACAAGGGGGAGGCTTTCCACCTCGTTAATCAAGAAAGTGACTTTTTCTTGCCTTGCCCTCAGTTCCACTGGCAAAACAAAATAAATAAATAGCGGAGCCCCAGCCTTCCAGTTTGGCATAGGACAGGTTTTTGTATCCTCCTCTGTTTCTACGACACTGGAATAAGTCATATTGGCTTTTGAATGCCGTTTCCCCTCCTACCAGACTGATAAGAAAAATGACTCGCCTCTCTCTTTCCAGCGCTTAGCAAATTCTGCTCCTTGTATATGAAAATTTTTTTTAGAAAAGAGCTCATTGGGGTAATTTATAACATTGTATGAGAGAATGTGGCTGCCTTCTGCAGATGGCTTTGTGTGTTTGCAATGTGCAACTAAAAAGCAAGGTGTGGAATTTCTCCTCACCATTGTAATCACTTTCAGATGATTTGAAATCGTGCATGCTCAATTGTTCCCGTCAAGAAAAATGGGAGAGTGTTAGATCACGCCTCTCTCTGTCTCCATATCCTCATATCCATGGGAAGGGCTGGAATACTTTTCCTGCTGGAGAAGCAATTCCTTAGGTGCTAAGTAGTAAGAAGGAGGAAATAATTGTTCAAGTGCAGATTTCTGCTCCATCACGTCCTCTCTGCCTTGTACTCCAAGCCATTCATGGATACTCCCCTTTATGTCGAGTAGCAAAAACTAAACCTTTTTGACCAAGAAGAACTCAGCGTTTCCCTGAAGCTGCAAGTGGCTTTGCATTTGTTCCAGCGGTATCCTACAAAAACAATGTTAAGAGAAGCAAAAATTCACAAACTATAAATATTGATTTACACTCATTATTACTTGGGATTTTTCCCTGTTTCCTAGCTAAATGTTGTAGTATTTAATTTCATTTGGTCAGGTCAACTTTTAGTCATATTTCTAAAAAGTAAGGCCATGTTTCATGGAATTTTTCTGTTTTTCATACATTTGGCCGGCTTCCCCTAGATTTTTGAGGTCGCTGGTTCTGTATCTATTTGGAGATTCAGTTGCTCTCCCGTTTCATCAAACACTAAATTTGGCAACAGCAGTGGTGATGGTTTGTGCATGAAGGATGCTGCTGGCACACTGACCTCTGGCAGGGCTTGCTGTTACAAGCCTGATTAAACGCACTGAAGAACAATCCCCTCTCAGTTCTGCTCCGATCTGTGCGCCAGGAGTAACGTCAGGTCCCATTTAAAATAAGGGCCCTGTTGTGGTAGGTGCTGTGTACAGGGTGGTGCTGCTCCACGCGTGCAGCTTCGAGGTCCTGAGCAGGAGCTCGAGGGTCTTCTGACCACCCAGCCCCTCTCATCCCAGTCAAAGGAGTGGCTTGTGGGTGGTGGCAAGGAAACCTCAAGAGAAGCCCACGAGGGCACATGAGCCATCAACCTACGCAGACAGAGGGGATGGGAGTACAAGGCTGTCCATAGCAGCAGAGTGGCGCACAAAGGTGATGTCACCGATTTTCTGCTTCTATTACTCTTTTTGCTACGGCCTTGCATGAGATCTCATTGAAAGCTTTCTGCTTATTGTGAGCTCCACTGGTACCCCCTGGGCCCGTTTGCTCATCACTTTTCAGGAGCTAGTCCTCGACTGAGCAGGAGCCCCAGGACCCGCATGTGGTCTGAAAAAGTCTATGTGCAGTGTGAATTCCCTGTCGGCATGCAGTCTTAGGAGGCAAGGACTGAAAGCAGGAAGTGGAGAGTAGGGAGTTTGGAAGACTTTGAGCCACCAGTTGAACGGAGATGGTTTTAGGAAATGCTTCAGTGAGTGCCAGCGCCCAAATGAGCCCACCCAAAGTGCTTATGAAAGGGGACTGAGCCGCCTCTCTGTGGGAGAGGAGCCCAGCTCTACCTGGCAAGCCTGCTGAGGTGCATGCAGTTCCCAGTGCACCAGGCAAATATGTCCTGCATGCCCTGGAGGTGCCCAGAAGAGCCTCTGCCCACTGATGACAAGAGTCATCTATCTCCCACCGTTGGGGTGGAGATGCCCAGTGTGAGACCTTTCCTGCAATGCAAGGTGCTCAGTGCAAGGCACGGCTGTGGATGTGGTGCTGTCACCTCCTGCTGTGTGCTGGCTTCACTGCATTCCTATCTCTTCTTTTGTAATGTTGCCGTGGGTCACCCCTGTTTTCTTCAGACTGAGCGTCCAACGAAGTTTAGCTCAGTCATGACACTTATCTCCACCTGGGAGTGTCACATGCCACGTGCCAGCTGCTGCCAGTTGTCTGCTTTCAAGCCGGAGATGTCTGAGCCCTGGCTCCAAACCTTGTTCAGTTTGGGCTCTACCTGAGGACACTGAGCTAAGATGCCTTTAGTGAGAAATATCTGTCCACATAATCCCCTGGGAGACAGACCAGGCAGGGAGCTAAGCCAACCTTGTATATGTTGCCCTTCCATCTGAAACAGGAATCTCACCTGAAAACAAACCTGGGCTATTATCATTGGCTCTCAGCATTAAAATGGGCTTTTTTGATTTATTCCTATTCCTTGTATAGTGCTGAAAGCTTCAAACCACACAGTCCCAGCTTTGTGGTCAGCACAGTTCAAGAGTACAAGCCTGCTCCAGAGCTGTGGGCTCCCACCTGTCCCTGCGATGGATGGGCTGATGCAGTTCCCAGCACTGGCTGGGCTCGTGCTTCTCCATCAACATAAACAAGTTGATGTCTTGGTCTTGTTCAGAATAGCCAGCAAGCGAAGTTTTACAGACCAGGGAAGCATGTTGCTCATTACACAGAGAAATAGAATAACCTGCAAAAAAGCCAAGGCATTTAAAGCTACTTCAGTGACCGGCACCTGCTGGAAGCAGAAGGAATCGGAAACTGTTTAAGTTGTGAGCTTGTGTGCTTCCCCGTTCACAGGACGCAGTCTGTGTGACCCCATTCGCCCCATTCCTCTTGGGGCGAAAAGCTTGTATAATTGCCCCAATTGCCTGTGCATCTGCCATCTGCTACCTTCCAAACTGTTTGTCTGCATGTAATCCCCGTGTGCTGGTGAGGCAGCCTGTCCGCGTAGCGCTCGACCAGCCATGGAGCACGGTCCCTGGATGGAGCGAGGGGGAGATGTGCTGGTGGAGAAGAGGCCGGTGGCACTTCAGGGGAAGAGGATGTTCATCAGGACATATAGGGGAAGCATTGCAGGAGGGGAAATTCAGGCAGAAGCCCATGAGAAATCAGTCGTCATTAGCTCTGCTGTTCACAGAGTAACTTGTTTTAGTGGCTGAGAGGTCATTTCCAACAGGAAAGCCTTTTGGTTTTGGTTGGAAAAACTGCATAGTATTGCAGATTTCCATAAAAAGTTGTCTAGTTTTACAAAAATGGGGAAAAATGTTGAAAATCTGATATTCTGAGGTTCTTCATTTTTACTGTGGCTCTTCCACCTAGTCTTAGTGTCGGGTTACTTGACAGCCTGCATTAACTTTCTTTACAGAGTGGTTATCATTATGGTCTGTACAAACTAGGACTCTGGGAATGGCATTCCTTGGATATTTCCCATATGATTTCCTTACACGGTCCTTATATTTAACTTGACATCAGAAGATTCTTTAAACAACAGACGAAAGTATAATAAGATCCAGTAGCTGGAAGTTGAAGTTAGAGGAGTTATTCCAGTGGAAATAGGATGCTAATTTTTGAGAGGAAGGGTAATTAGCCGTTGCAACATTGTGCCAAAGGCTGTGGTAAATTCATCATTGCTTGAAGTGTCCACATATTGAGACTGAATGTCTTTCTAAAAGATATGCTCTAGTTCCACCACGTATTCCTGTCCAGCAGTGTTCATTTATTGGCATGTTGTGGGGCCTTTTGGAAAGACTCGCTGACTTCATTGGACTTTTCATCTGATATTGCTATGGCTGAGAGGAGTCTCAGGCCAGTGCTTAGACAGAAGGTCAGAAGGAAAGATCATAAAAGTCCTGTCTGGGCTTCTGAATCTATAAAGTATAGTGAATACTGTGGTTAAGATATCTCCCCGAAGCGGTGATTATTGTAAAGATTTTAATGGCTTCCACCATAGAAAAATTTAACATGACTTCCAGCTGGATTTAGCTCTATTTTGCAGTACCATGAAAATGTTTACTACCTTTTAAAGCTCTGTTTGTGTTCTGCAAGCCCGGCTTTGCTTCCATTGCCATTAATTCTAATTACAGCTTACTTTCTGCGCTGATTGATAATCCTGCTTGGCTTTCAACACTTTGTTAATACAAATTCATAGCTGGACAGAAAACTTGCTACCCTCTAGAATACAACCATTCAAATCATAACAAATAGGAATATTTTGGAGGATAGACCAAAAGACAAATTGATGGATAATTAATTAGAAGGTTATATTCCACTGGAGGCTTTTCTAATGACTTCTGGTAAACTGCCCTAGCTTTGCTTATTTGATTTATGGCATTATTAGAAATCCTCAACTGGCAAACTGCCTCATAATTTGCTACACGTAGTAATTTATCAAGATGCCTTTGGTCAAACTTTACTTCTATTTTTTTCCCCCTTCTCCAAAGAACTTGCTCGTAACTAGCATTATGCTTTGTTTCCAAAGTTGCTTTTTTAAAGCGACAGAGTGATAGAACATCCTGTACCAATTAAATTCAATATGCTTGGAAGGAACTTCCAAATTGGCTAGTACAATTGTGCGGGTGTGTGAATCAGAGCTACTTTAAATAGAGCTCTTTTCAAATGACCTAAACATGCATCTTCATATATTATTTTCATGGTGGTCCTGATAAACAGCATTTACACAGCTCATTCTTTTCCACAGTGTTGCCATCTTCTCCCTTGTCAAGCAGGGAATCACATTTATAATAGGCTAAAATATTGCGACACCTCATCTTCGATAGCACCTTCCTTGCAGGATACTTCCCCATTCAGCCAGGATGAGCAGAGCATGGTACAGATCCCAGCAAACAGTCCTGGGAAGAACTTGCCTGGCGTGTTTGCTTATTAGGAGCAATCAAATGCTGACGCTGAAGCAGATGGGTGAGGTGTTAAGGGGTGCAGACAGGGACAGGAGAAGATTTCAGCAGTAGGTTTGCATTTCTTGATTGCCTTTGGCAGATCCTTTGGAAAAAGTCCACAGATCTGCAGACTAGGTTCATACTCAGGCTCTCAGTTGGGTTGGAGCAGGGCAGGAACCGTCCTGTTGCTGTCCAGACTGGCTAATGCTTGGCGTAATCCCCGGCACAGTTTCTGGCCCACGCAAAGCAGCGCTCTCCAGGCAATACCACAGCACAGCTTGGGGGATGCTCAGGGACCAGGGCCAGTTTCCAAAGGATCTGACCCAGCAGGCAGAGCAGATGAGGCCACCAGCTTTGGGGGACAGTGAGTAGGCAGAGAGTTTAGCCGTATGGACGTGAGAGCAGTCCCTGGTGAGTGAATATAGCCTCGGGGTTTGCAGAGGAGCAGCGAGAGCAGGGACGGGGGGACACGGGGAGCCAGAGGAGAGGGGAAGGTTGGAGCAACCCAGCCAAAGACTGAAAAGGTCTCCTCAATGCAAGTAGGCATGGGGCACTGAGAAGGTGCTCGTGGGGAGGTGGCAAATTCTTTAAGGGTAAGAAGAGGTGGAAATTTGTCTTAGGAACTGGTGGAAAGAGAAATCAAAGTCTGAGTGTGACTGCTGGTGCTCGCTTGCTGGTGCATGTGACTGCTAGCTTCTGCTGGAAGCAAGCAAACCCTGTTTTCCCACACGTCTTGGACTATCTGCTGTCCTTGCTAGCGGGGATGCTCTCCTTGCTTCTTGTCTCCGAGGGCCGGGGCTTTGTTGCGATGTCCATCTGGCAGCCCCGAACACGTGGCCATAGTCCTGTCCACAGTTTTGTGCCATACCCAAAAGACCATCTTGACGTCCACATACCAGTGTGCTCTAACTTTTCTTTCCGTTCCTTTTCCTCCCCTCCAGAACTACGCTGCTATGAAACTGGTAAAACCTTTCAGCTGAAGCTGTGCTGGTGGACACCGGAAAGGTCCAGTGCCTGCCTGGGGTTTTGGAAATGAGTTACTGCTCTGCACTGGATCACATCAGCAGATGGAGAAGAAAAAGGAACACCCTCTCCCAGGCCCTAGGCTGCTGCCAAAATGAAGATGTAACGTTCCTTGACACAATATGCAGAATACCACCTACAGCACTCACCGCTGAAGCAGCATGTAGACAATACCTAAGTTGAAATATTTCTTATTTTACTTCTCTCTCTGTCTGCCTTTTTTGTTTTTTTTTATGATTTGTAAAGCTTGAATATCAATGCAAAACTGAAGAGGGCCGGGGAGAAAAGGACCTTTTCATATGACTTAATTATAGCCTGCAAGCCTATAAAGATGTTGCAGTCCTTAGTAGAGGAATTATGGGCTGCTGGTCTAAGCAGTAGATGCAAGCCAAAAACTCTCAGGTTGTGAGCACTTTCCTTTGCGCTCTGACAAGCCTCAGTTTTCCTTTGCCATGCAATGGTTTATATATAAAGTCTGCTGAAGACAGAATGTGCTGTACAGCCCAAAACTGGGGGCTGTCACGATGCCTTCCCAAAGGGAGCAGGAACTGTGAGATACAGGACCCAGCGCAAGGCTCTGAGACACAAGACTTGAGGCAGGAATTGATGGTGATGATAAAATAAAAACTCCCATTGAATTCTGTGCTCATGAAGGGCCACATAGTGTGGCCCAGATTTTTTGGAGCTTGTTTTCCCTCTAAGCTGCTCTTTTACCTCTACAATCCCACATGCCTCTCTTCAAAACCTGCATTTTGGTGGCAAAGACAATGGAGTTAGTCTGCGACCGGCTCTGAGAGCAACCCCAGGATCAAAACCGTGCACATGCGCTTTGCTCTTCTCCCCTCCTGCTACCTGCAGCCTCTGCAGCCATAATTAAGTGAACAATATTGGTCTTTAACTTCCTATGCTCCTAAACATACTTAAGTCAAACAGTACAAAACTAGCCTGCAAAATAAGTTGTGCAACTTGCTGCTGCAAGACGCTGATGAGGCAGGTAACCTGTAGCTTTGGGAACAGGTTTGTTCACTTTATATTTTAAGAGTTAAATATTAGGAGATATATCCTGCAGGTCTTGCTCAGCCCAGGCTCCCACTGGAGCAAACGGCAGTTGTGATAGAACTGGGATGGCAGTATTGGGACATTTCTGCCGTTTTCTACCCGAACATTGAATTTAGTCCCTTGTCCCGTCCATCTGGCGCTCTGCTGCTGCAATTAGATGGAGCGAGGTAGACTAAGACAGTTTTTTTGTGCTCCCTGGTCATGAGAGGATGCTGAGCAAGACAGCAATAGTCACAGATTTTTCTCCTGCATCCGCTCACCCTGCAAGGAGGCCACTCCCAAGCGGGGACCCTGAGCTGTCTCTTGTGTGACCGCCATCCTGCTGCTCTGGCATGGCTTGACTTGCCCCACGGTCCCATTGAAATAAAAGGAAGCTTCCCTGCTGCCTTCTGCAGGGTGAGACATTTCTTCCTCACTTTCATTTGTCCCCTGAAGCCGCTGTTACTCAACATGACGCGTGAGAGTAAGCAGCAATGAAAAGTGATACCGAGGGATCAGTGTTTCTCAGGACAAGCCATGCTAATGTAAGCTCCTGTCCTGCTCCAGGAAAGCACTTAAGCATGTGCTTTTTCCTTGTCTTCTGCAAAGAACATGCTTAAGTGCTTTGCTGGATAGGGACGTAATGCCTTGAGCATTAAATCCCTTGTTAGTCAGTTCTGTAACAGCACCCAGATTGCGTGGGTCAGTTCTCTGCTGCGTGTGAAGATGGTGTATTTGACCTGGAGGACATGCAGCTGTGAAAACCCATCTTTACTTCCGAGGTTTAGCTCATCCAGCATCTTATTTCCAAAAGTGGCTGGTGCTTGGGAGGTCAAGTTGACTCTGGGCTTGCATGCCCCAGGGTGTTTCATTTTACCAGCACAGTTAAGTATTTCATATTTTGCATTTGTTCAATTTTTCCCTAGAAGTCTCCTAACATCATTTGTATCCGCACCCCTGGTTGTTAGCCACTATCAGACTACCAGCTCTTGGTCAAATCCTGTGTAATGCTTCCCCCTGAGGATCTGATGAGCTGAGGACAAAAGCTACTTGGTGAAATTGGCTGCTCCTGACTTGTGCTTGGGTTTGCACCTCTTTTTAATTATTATTTTTTTCTTTCATGTTATTCTATGAAATGCTGGTGCCTGTGTGGTTGGTTCTTGTACCACTTCCAGCACGAACCAGCTCAGCTGGGGAGTCTGAGAGTCTTGCTGGCTGCTTGGACACCTCACTTTCCTAATTTGCAGAGGGGAATCAGGCCTGTTAGTTCACCTCCTTGCCTCGATTTGCAGTGTCTGTGAAATTTCTCATCTTGGCATTATTGCTCTGTAACCCTCACCTATTTCAAAAACAAAATGTTGGTGCCAAGAGCCCCAAACAGGTGGGTGATCCATGCTTGAGTACTAAGCACTGCTTATGTCTGGCTGCTCATCAGCAAGCCTATTGCAATGAGTAGACTGTCTGTCCCAGCAGTGCCAAGCAACCTACCAAAACAGCACGCTCATTTGTCACCTCTCCAGAGCCTTTCCAAGCAAGAAATCACATTTTATTCCCCAGCACTTACCAGCAGCTCTCCCCTGGCAAACCTGAATAGGTTTGCCAGCGGAGGGGGAAGCAGGATCCAGGCCGTTCAAATGTATAGAGAAAAGGAAAGTGTTACATCCCTGTGTGCAATTCTTGTGTTCCCCAGTCCAGGCTCTAGGGCCAAGTTTCACACCACAAGACTCTGCGGGCCTGTGTTGAGTCAAAGCAGACTTGAGCACATGAAAACATCAGTTCAGCCCCTTTTGCATTGCCGCTTGAACGCCATCTGTTTGCCTCGCTGTGGGCCCTCTGTATCTGGGTTATGTCTCTCCACCAAAGCCAGTGGGGAGGTGGGGACTGTGTAAAGTCTTCTCTGTGGCTCCCCGTCATTCAGGGGTTTGAAATGGCTGGAAGATATATGTATCACCTGTCTATGCCTTATATACAATATTGCAGATTTCACTGTGGTTACAAATGAAATGCTCTGAAAAACCTTCTGCTTCCTGGTATGTTTTATTGTGTTGATGGTTGAGGCACCTTGCCTTTCTGCTGTGTGAATGCGGAAGACACAGGTGGAAGGAACGGAACGGGGAAATGAAGTGCCCTCTGCTCCTCTTTTCTCTACTGTTGTTGCAAGGAAGCAGGAGAAGAGACCAGAAAGAGTGGAGAAGAGAGGATAAAAGGGGGATAAGGGTTGCACAAACTTTAGCCTCCTGTGGGAACTGGAAAGGCGGAAAGCGTTCATCTTCTCTGGCTGCCCTGGGCCACAGATGGGCAGTTCTGGTGAGGAGGCTAAAGCAGACAGATACATATTGGGACAAACCTGAGCTGCTGCACTGTAAATACCCGGCTTCTCCTGAAATGGGGGCGTTGTCTCTCCAGAAAAGCATCTGTCTTGGAAAATGGTTTGTTCCCCTCTGTCTTCTTCCCATTTCTTGACTTTGCTTGGAAAGCAGCACATCCTGTTGGGTCTGGGTCTGTTCCTTGCCTGGGTGGGGAGGACTGGTCTGGCCAGTGCTGCTGTCATTCGGTGTGACCAAGCAAGAGCTCTCTGACGGCCAGTTTGGAGATGGTGGTCCTCAGTAGGATGGTGGGAGGCGGGAGAGCAGGAGATGGGTCTTGCACCCATACATGAGACATGCCAGACTGCAGACGTGGATGCTATGGCATGGGAAGGGGAAAGGGCAGGAGAACCTAACCATGGTTTCCCATGCGCATGCCAATAGTGCCGCCTAGCCCTCCTGCCTATGTGTACGCGCACATGCACGTGTGTGCGTGCGCGCACGTAAAAGTTAATTACAGACTGGTCCTCTGTTTAAACACTTTTGTGATGCTTGTTTTCCTATTATTTCCTTGGCCTTTAACTTGATGTTGTGCATAATTTAAGGCTGGAGTTATGGAGTGCATGAGGTCTCCTTAGGGGAGGCCTTGACAACACACCTTTGTGTTTCACACCCGCCTGGGTTTGGCCCCGCCAGCCGGAGGGGCGGCAAGATTAGGAGCTGGAAAGCTGCCACCCCGCATTCAGGCTGAACTTCTTTAACCTCCAGTAGGCTCACTGGCCTCACCTGGTAAGTTCAGAAAAACGTAGTAAAAGAGCCGAGCTGATTTTTGCCTTAAATAACGATGATTCTGTATTAATCGCCTGGTCTTGCTCAGAAGGAAGAGGTTTTCACCCAGAGCAGCAGCTCGCAATGAAGAGGTTTGAGGAGCGGGAGGTGGGACAAGAGCGAGGGGGACCGGGAAGGGGGAGGAAGAGGTCAAGGCGCTGCCATGGCTGGCTGTAAAAATACAGGTCTGTGAAGCCGTTTGCAGACCCTGCCCTCACTCACGTTGTGTTTGTTGGTTTAACCCGAGCTAATGGGGCCTGCAGTCAGTTTTACTCATTACCTGCTGACAGAACGGAAACACACTGTGCGAGCTTCTGTTGGGAGGCCGGGCTAGGCTGCGCCGCCGCCGTGTCCCCGGCCCGGCGGCGATGCCATGCCCGAGCGGC